TTAGAGGTGAGCAATATCATATTACGAGCACTTTAGTTATGTTGCACCGACGCCAACACGTAATATAGAATACGACACGATATTCTGATACGTTAATTTTAAAAAATGTTAAATTTTGATATATTAAGACACGTTTTGATATTATACATTTAATACTCAATAATTTAACAAAAAAATAAAGCTAAATTTATAATACTTATCAATTTTGTAAAGAAATATAAGATATCCCAAATATTTATATTAAACTCAATAAAATAGTAATCGTAATCCAACGAATCTAATAATAAGAATTAGGAACTCAAAATGCAATAACCTTTGAACCTTTTTTGAATTTTTGTAACAAGTATTAGAGTGTCGAGAAGTGTCCAAAAATGTCGGACACGTCAAAAAAATTTTAAAGTGTCAGTGCTTAGTTCTTTAGAATTTACAATCTTCTAAAAGAATTTTTTTTTGGGGGAAAGTGAAAGAAAATGGGAAAAATTAATATTTTGTCATTTAACGTATTTAAAAATTAAGAAAATATTAATAACCAATAAATCAAAGATTCAGATTAAACATATATATAGACATCTCAACAGAAGTAATTAAAATTTAAAATGGATTTAATATTTGTTATGTAACATGAGAAAACTGCAAGAAAGGTATTTTTTCCAAAATTTAATTACAAAAATTTAGAATTTAATGTAGTTATTTGCAAAAGACAACGTATTTGTTTTATTTTTTCAACAACCATTTTTTATTGCACAATGTTCCTGCAACCATTTTACTGATTTGAAAATTTTCAATACCTGTGCAGCCTCTTAAGAATTATTCAGAGGCGCAGTCCTTTGAGAATTTTGAGTTAGACGAAGCGAAATACAATCAGGTATGGCAATATGTGTCAGGAATATTTTTTATTTTTATTTTTCTCATATATTTTGGTGTAATGTATGGTGTAGCTTTGGTTTCTTCTGTGTGCACTTGTAATCTAATCAGTTGCTTTTTTTTATATGTTAGTACCGAAAAGCAATTTGTGAAGCATTGCTGGACAGGGTTCCTAATGAAGAGGCATCTATGATTACCACGGTAAAATTTGTTTCTTGCGTTTAGTTTAGCTTTTTTTTGTTATTTTTTTGTTATTTTTTATCCAGAGGTTATTTTGTTGTTCCTATGGCTAGGTATTAGTGGTTGTTGGTGCAGGGCGTGGGCCTCTTGTGCGGGCATCATTAAAGGTGTGATATTGTTCTAGAATGTGGCAAATCTTGTTCTAGATTTGGATAATATCCTTTTCTTTAATATGACTTTTATCATCTTCATATGTAGGCAGCTGAAGAAACAGGGCGGAAGCTCAGAGTTTTTGCTGTGGAAAAGAATCCAAATACAGCTATTGGACTTAATGTTAGTTGTAGATTTTGTTCTATTCCTTGAATTTATGGTGATTCCTTGAATTTCTATTCCAAATGCTAATATAATGAAGCGAGTTGCATATCACAGAAGTAGCTGTATTCAATTTCCTCATTATGTTTATAATAGGAGTAACCTGTAGCATCAGTACAAGATAAGCATTTTTTAATTGCTTGAATGTGTCCCATGTTGGATATATTAATAGTATAATCAGTAATAGTATATTCACATATAAGCCCAATAGGTGAAAGCATGGTTATTTGGGTCCATATGGGCTGGAGCCCAATAGCTTGTATTATATCTAGGGTTTCCTAAACTGGAGGTAACACTGTTGAGCATTTCAAACTTTGATGTCTCAAGGTGTAATACTTTAAGCACTTCTGAACCCTTCTCTCTCAAACTCTTAACCTCCAACAATCTTAAAGTATTAGCTTCGGGTGTCGGATTTGAGCGAGTAAGGTGTCTATTCGAAGATCTCAACGAGAGGAACTTATATTTTAAATCACTTTCGTGATTCGACGGAAGGATTTTCCAGTATCTTAGTTTGAAGATACTGCAGCCGCAAACTTTCGGTCCAGATCACGGAAATTTTAGCCAATTTCAGAAAGTGAAACCTATTGGGCTTTGATCTACTCGTCGAGACGATCGTTTTGAGTGGTCATTCGTCTCAAACGGAGATCGGACGAAGGAGATATGACTCTTTGAAGTTATAGGTACACTTTTATGCTAAAAAGAATATTCCTGCGAAAAGGAATATTATGAGGGAATATTCTGTTTGTTGAGGAATATTCTGTATGAGACATTTTAAAAATCAGAAAATGTTCCGGTGAGTTTCTGGCCATAGGGGTAGTCCATCATATGGTTTTTGGGCGCTCCGGATCTGTTTTTGGGGTCTGTTTTGGCAAATTCCAAGTCTATAGAGCAGTTGATGAAAGTTGGAGCTTTTGCTTTAATTTACGAAGTCTGAGAGAGCTACAAGGTGCACTCTTTCTAACTCTTAGCTCTGATTAAAATGCCTAAAAATAATTCCTATGATATTATGAAATGAAATCATTTGATGTTATTGAATTTTATGGTTGGAAATTACATGTTCAATTTGGCATGGAAGAACATGAAATATTCCATAATATATTAAATGATCTTGCATTTACCATTGAAAATTGTGGATTAATATCAATGGAACAAAAATGAATAATTTTGTAGGGATTGCTTGCTAAATTCTCTAAATATTCATCTCGCTATGACTTGTAGTGAATATAAGACGATGAAAAAAGATATGAAATCACTTGAATGCTTAGTTCCAAAACAAGAGGGGCTCTTCAAAGCTCTCATAGCAGAGAAGTTCTTTGAATTCAAATTTAATACGAATTCAGTTAATTAAACTTGAGAACATAAGGAACAAGTTAAAAGATGATAAATCTGATATGTCTGATAATCTTTTTGTCGATCTTGCATTGAGTAAACTATCTGCTGAATAGAGTTTTTTCAAGACTGAAAGAACAAAGTGAACTGGATAAATTAAAGGGGTTTATTTATATTTAGGATCAAAACTATTCTATGAAGAGTTTGGAACAAATAGGACAATAAAAGTTAATTGCCTACTTAGTTTCACATTCCAATAAACCTCAGAAGAAGTCCAAGTCACCAAAAGGTGAATCTTCTTCATAGTTAGAGGCCAAAAAAGACTATCTTCAAAAGAAGAAGAAGGACAAGTGCCATAACTGTGGAAAGTGAGATCACTGGGCAGCAGAGTGTAAGCTACCAAATAAGTTAAAAAAAAAAACAACACACCACAAAATGAGGTTAATATGTTAACTAATGAACCTGAGCCTCAAGCTTTCATTGGAATGATGAAGAATGGAAAGGCCAGTGTCTCTTTTGAGTGGTGGTTGGAGAACGGTGCTACCTGTCATACTACAAATGATAGAAATTTACTCACTAAGGTCATAGAAGTGAAAGACACAGTGGAAAATTGCAGTGGTAATGAGACAGATGTTACTCATGTTGGAACTGCAAATTTGGTGCTTTCTTCAAGTAAATTACGAACTCTAAAACAAGTTAGAGTAGTACTTTTACTTAAAAGAAAATTTATATCTTTGCTTGATAAAGCTTGTATGCCTTTCTCAACTATGAATGGTAGAGTAACTTTATTTGTTAACTCTTGTTATTTTGGTTGCGCATTCATGATTAATGGTATGTATAGATTGAGTTTAGATACTGTGAGGATAAACCATGTGAGTTCAACTTTAATTGATCCAAAGTTGTTACATAATAGACTTGGACATGTGAACTACAAGAAAATGCAACATCTAGCTAAAACTCTTGATACTCTATTAAATGCTTTTATTCGATTTGACAAATGTGAAGTATGTGCACAAACTAAGATCACTAGAAAACCTTTTAAGTCAGTTTCTAAAAGCACACAACTTCTTGATCTGATACATTTTGACCTTTGTGACTTTAGAAATTATATTACTAGAGGTGGTCAAAAGTACTTAATAACATTCATAGACGATTTTTCTAGATATTGTCATGTCTATTTGTTGAAATCGAATGATGAAGTTTTGAAAGGTTCTAGATTTGTAAGTTAAGAGGAGAAAATCAGCTCAACTTGAAAACTAAGAGGTTTGGGAGTGATAGAGGAGGAGAGTACACAATGATAGGTTCAAGGAATTTTTCACTTCGGAGGGCATAATACTTGAAACCACTGCTCCTTACTCACCCCAATCAAATGGTGTTGCTGAGCGTAAGAATAGGACATTAACTGAAATGTTAAACTCTATGTTACTTACAGCTGGCATGCCTTCCTCCTATTGGGGAGAAGCAGTTCTAACTGCCAATCACATCCTGAACAGGTTGTCGCACTCTAAGTTGTCTATGACTCCTTATGAGATATGGCATAAGCGCTCTTGTAGATATGATACTCTTAAGACTTAGGGATGTATTGCTTATGTAAGAATACAAGATCCTAACAAACCTAAGGTGGGACCTAGAACCATTACTTGTGTATATCTAGGAAGTGCAGAAGACAGTGTTGCAAATAGATTTTTGGATCTATCTACAAATGCGGTGATAGAATCCAGAGATGCATAATTCTTTGAGAATAAGTTTATCAAAGATCATGGCTTGAGTGTTTCCGGATCTATAGATATGATTTATGAATCTCCTATAGAATCTGAAGCAAGCCCTTCTGACACTTACCCTACACAACTGGCTGTTGAATCAGTTTCAGTTAGAGTATCTACGAGAGATAGAGAGTTCCCAAAGACTTTGGCGAGGACTTTGTCACTTACCATCTAGAGGATGATCCATTCTCCTATCAAGAAGTGATGAGATCTAGGGAATCTCTACTGTGGGCAGAAGCCATAGATGATGAAATGAGCTCTCTGTTTGCAGAATTGTACTTGACAGCTAGTCAATTTGCCAAAAGGGCTAAGGCTATAGGCTGTAAGTTGGTACTGAAAAAAAAAAACTGAATAGTGATGGATCGATAGCTAGATATAAAGCACATTTAGTAGCTAAAGGCTATAGACAATAAAGTGAAGTAGACTATTTTGATGTCGACTCACCTGTGTTCCATCTATCGACTATAAGAATTCTTCTTGCTTTGACATTTATTGAACACTATGTAGTGCATCAAATAGATGTAAAGACAACTAGTGAATGACATGTTAATTCTTGGTTTTGATCATTCTGTAGTGAGTGACATGAAAGCTAATTTAGCTAAAGAATTTGATGTGAAAGATCTTGGTATTGCTAATACCATTCTTGGTATGAAAGTAAGCTTTGATAGGCAAGTTATCTCCCTTAGCCAGACTCATTATATTGAGCAGCTACTTTCTACATGGGGATACAGTGAGTGCAAACTGAGTGAGACACCATGTGATTATAATAAAAGACTGAGTCCTCATGAAGGGACCAGTGTGGATCAGTTAAAGTATTTAAGACTGATTGGTAGTCTCATATATGTTGCAAGTTGCACTAGACCTGACATAGCCTTTACAGTTGGCATGCTGAGTCATTTCACTAGTAATCCTAGTAAAGAGCATTGGGATGCCCTCGATAGGCTGATGCGATATCTTAAAGGTACTAAAGATTATGCTCTACACTACTCTGGTTATCCTTCAATTGTGGATAGATATTCTGATACGTCATGGTGTTCAGAAATCAGAAATAGTAAGTTCATCCGTGGATATGCATTCACTTTGGGTGGAGCTGCTATTACTTGGAAATCCAATAGACAGACTTGTATTGCATTGTCGTCTATGGAATCAGAACTTTTTGCCCTAGCCTCAGCCGGCGAAGAGGAAAAGTGGATGAAGAATCTGATTATGGATATTCCTTTGACTCGGCTAAAGATTAATTCTTTAAGCCTGTTTTGTGATAATCAAGCAACTGTCCAAGTTGTTAAGAATATGCTCTCTTTAATTCAAAGAGAAGACATATAAGATTGAGACATGCGTTGTTGAATTATCTGAGAAAATAAGGAGTTATCACCTTGATCGATGTGAGATCGAAGGATAACTTGGCTAATGCTCTCACAAAAGATATGCCTAAAGATCGATTATTCAAAACAGTGGGGGAAATGAGGTTAAAGACTATATAGATAAGTCTTAATTACCATTTACTTACCTTTTAATTGTGTGTTTTGAATTACCGAATCTTTCTTTTGTTGGCCAAAATGATAAGCACTGTCTATATGTTTCATCGATGTTCATAGTTGCTGATTAATTTGAAAAGGGTAAGTTGTCTCATTCCAAACTTGATGAAGATAACTTAAACCTAATTCAAAGGTTCTACTTGGGAAACTTGTGTCATTCCAAACTTGATGATACAATCCAACCTGGTTGGACCACCCTTTTGGTTAAATGATCTCATTCCAAACTTGATGCTAGATTATTTGACTTTGAGGAATCAGTAATTGTGACATTCCAAATTGAAACATTGAAATAGTTGTTTGCATAAGAAGCCTATGGGTCATGTTCTTAATTGGAACTTGACATCACATGACTAGGTTATTGTAAGTAACTTGACTATTGGTTTTGTTCATTGAAACTAAACAATAGTTATTCTCTTACAAATAAACCTAAGTTGATGGCTCTTTGCAAAACAAACTGTTTAGGCCTTGTTCATAATTTATGAAACTTGCTTGATGCTTATGAACATAATATTGCGATGCTTTATGACATTAATATATGTTCTTCTTTGCCTGATGATATGATGCTAAGTTCTTTTAGTAGAACTAGACATCTTTGGTAGATTATTCAACCGATTGAATTCATAATAATATGAAATTCATACTTGATATTCTACAAAGGATGGCAGAGATGGAGGAGAGCTTGATGAGAGGGATTTTGACTAAGATCACTTCCTTGATGAATGAATATATCATTTAAAGTATGTGGGGACTTGACAGTTCACCCGCTATTGCCCATTTTGATGGAGTCCATTTATTTGAGACTTACATTTTGCTATCTTTAATTTATGAACATTGTTGATTGAGAACTGATTTTGAGACTTCTTTTGGATGTTGGGATTTGGATGAGTTTAGATTGAATCTAAAACTCTAAATATTTACTTTGGTATGTTGGTCTCAGAACAGATTCATGATAATGATGATTTATTTATTTAGATTAAAAATGACGATTGAGTTTAATATTTTACCATTAAAACTCTTTGATTGATCCGAGTTAATTGTCTTGGACTGGATATGAATGATTCATATTTGTTTGAACATTATATTGATCACTCTATTGGATTGTGCTATATGGTGAACATAGGAGGAGATTGTTGGATATATTAATAGTATAATCAATAATAGTATATTCACATATAAGCCCAATAGGTGAAAGCATGGTTATTTGGATCCATATGGGCTGGAGCCCAATAGCTTGTATTATATCCAGGGTTTCCTAAGCTGGAGGTAACACTATTGAGCATTCCAAACTTTGATGTCTCAAGGTGTAATACTTTAAGTACCTCTGAACCCTTCTCTCTCAAACTCTTAACCTCCAACATCCCACTCCCAATATGACAAATTCATCATGATGCATTTCTTTTTTGTATTTAAGTTTGATCGATGTAACATTTTCAGTGGAATATTTTTGTTCTAGGATGGTCCATAATTATATGAACACAACCATTGGTACTTTCAGTCAAGAGAGTAGGCTTTTTAATTGAAGGCCCTCTCGATGTATTTTATTTTCTTTCAGTGGTTATATAAATTGCTTTGCTCTTCTTCCCCTTTATTTTCAAAATTTTTCTTTATGGCAATATTAACTGTAGTTTTTCAAAAGAGGACTCAATCTTTCGAATAATCATGGGCGCGACATTTTATTTATTGGAGCAGGAGCAAATTAGGTTCGAAGGATGGTTGAATATTGTTACCGTAGTCTCATGTGACGTGCGTTACTGGACTGCCCCTGAAAAAGCTGACATATTGGTATATTTGTACAATTATATTTAGTCGTTAACTTTTATTCTTTTTTTTTTTTTTGATAAACAACTTTTGTTCTTTTTGCTGTTGTCTTGAATTTAGGTTAGTGATTTGCTAGGGTCTTTTGGTGACAATGAACTGTCTCCCGAAATTCTTGATGGAGCCCAGAGGTTTCTAAAGAAAGATGGAATTTCAATACCATCTACGTATGTAATTCCTTTCACTCCAAATGTTTGTTAGTTTATCTTTGTTAAAAGGTTTTATTTTTTTATTTTTCTTACTTAGTTTTTCTTATTTTCTTTTAGTTTTTAAATATGATTGTCCACCAATTTTTATTAAGTCCCTCTAATTCATTACGAGTGACTACTGTGTGCGAGTCACATGCTTTAGAGAGAGCCTGCATATGAAATAATGGATATTTTGCTCCATGCAGCATTTTGAGAATTATTTTATTTGAACTTTCCTTTACTATTTATTTCTCACGCTTTCTTCAAGTATAGGGGTACTGGATGAACCATTGTGAATCATATTCAAGTATCATTGGATTATTTTATATAATATTGAACTGAGATGAACTTTTCGATAATAGAATTCGGCAACAATTTTTTACTTTCATCAACTTCGGTTAGATGGCATCAGTGAAGTAAATTTTTGCCATGTAATTTAACCTGTTCTTGTTAGCAAAAATTGAGTGTTTCTAGGAGTCATCTTCATACAATTAGAAGTAGTTGGATTTATAAGAAATTGCAGCTAGGCCAGCTGAACGTTAATTATATGAGTTTATGTATTTTAACTTTTGAGGATTATTGTATTAGTGTTTAATTTCCACTTTCAGGTACACAAGTTTCCTCCAACCATTGACAGCTTCAAAGTTATATAATGATGTATATCCCTTGTACTCCCTATGCCAAATTTACCCATATAAATTTAGTACTTCTTTTTACCTGCTTGTGGTTATATTCAGGCTAAGACACGTAAAGATACTTTAAGCTTGGAAACTGCTTGTGTTGTTAAAATTCACAAGGTAGCTCGGCTTACGCCTGCTCAGAAGGTGAGCAACTTCTCATTTAGTTTGCTATCCTTGCTTTTCCTTCAATCTATCCACTGTTCTGATCTTTATGATGTTTGAACTTCATGATTTGCTTAATATTTTTTGTTTAAATTTTAGGGAATTCACTTTTCTGCCCCAGAAAGTTGAGATAGAATTATTTCTACTGAATTTGTTTGGTTATTGATTTGACTTGCTTAGGTTTTTACCTTTACTCACCCAAAACACACGGATCAAGAAAGCAATCAGCGGTATAAGAAGTTGCATTTTCTGATACCTGAGAGTGCTGAGTCAGCACTGGTTCATGGTATGTAGGGTATTTCTACGCCTACTCAGTGAATAAGTCTTTATAAAAATAATTTATACTATATATTCGATTTTACTCTGACTATCCTGAAATTTTTGAAGCCCACATTTTAGTAAATTTAATTGTGGATTTTGGTCCTATAATCAAAATCAATTAGGAGCAATTATTATTCTTAAACTTAGGAATTATTGTAACTAATAGTTTTTAGGATTCCAATTCTTTCCTGTAATTCTAATTTAATTAGGAACTCTTTATTTTTTGCAATTTGAATATCCCAAATCCTATTTTGATTTAGGTATCATATTTGGGTCCTAAAATCATGGATAAAGATACCCAACATTTTATGCAATTTTAATATCCCAAATTCTGTTCTGATTTAGGTATAATATTTGGGTCCTAAAATCATGGGTAAAGATACCCAACATTTATATATAGGGTAACTTCCTATTGCAATGGAAACGAGAGAATGCATAGTATCAGATTCAGAGCTATCTCTTGGAAAGCCTGCTGGTGTTCCTGCAGAACCAGTTCCAATTCTGCCATATACTGACTCCCAAGCTGCTCTGTAGCCACTGGTAGGGGATCAGCTGGTACGACCACTTGGACCTCTTTATTTGGTATACTTTGAGGACCGCAGTTTGACCATCCTTCTCAAAACTCATAGTTTCGTCTGTCTTCCAATCGGCTTTTGTCTCCTAGGATGAGATCAATGCCTTCCAATTCCAATATGTATGCATCCACCAGTAATGTGTTCTCACCAACCCATTGCTCCCTTGATAGTAGCATCTGCTTCCATCTCCCAAGTTAACCCCAAACTCTTTGGTTTTAGTGTCTAGTGATCTGAATGAGGTCACTATCAATGAGTATTAGTGTGAACCATATTCGGACGGTTTATTTCCCTATACTCAATGACTTGGCAAACCACCTCGCAGTCTCTATTTTCCTCATACAAACCTCCTCCACTGCGAACAATGATTCAGTAGTTGACTCCTCACCTTCCCAAATCAGCAATCTAAGGTGTTTATTGGGACATTGATGAGTGGAGCTATAATGTTGCCCACACTTAAAAGCACCAGCCCTTATTCACTCGAGATGGCTTCCAATGTTTCTCTGAGTACTAGAACCCGCCTTATTCACTTGCGTCTGTATTAACTGGGGTGAAATTCAACTCACCCCACTTCTGTCCAATTATCCCAAACAAGTGGAAGAGAGTTCCCCAGATTTCCTTAAATTCCCAACAGGGAAAGTAAACTTAAGCTGTGTTAAAAACTCCTGAACACAGCTTAAGTTTAAAGTATAGCAAAATAAATCAATTTCAATTTCTCAACATATAATAGAGACTTCCATTGAGTTTGTTCCGGACTAATTTATAGAAGCATATTTAAATTTCGATTTAGAGGATAAAGTGGAAAGGTAAATGTTAGTGCACTTAATACTTTTAAGATAAAGGAATTTTACTTGGGTATTTCATAATGAAAATAAGTGTAGAAGAATAAAAAATTGGAGGAAGGAATATATATTTTAAGTTTTTCCTTGAAATTATCATGCTGTTGAACATGATTAACCTTTGTTAATGCTGTGTTTGATAAAACGGTAATGTAAAATGGCTTTGCTGATTGACTGTCCAATTATATTTTAGATGGACAACGTGGGTAACAAGGGATATCTTATATGTGAAAGAAACATACTGGATTGTTTAATGGAGTTTTAGGATGTCTGTATTGGGGACATGGGACATTCATATAATGTAGTTTTAGGATGTCAGTATGGCATGTCATTGATTGTTTTTCCTATGCCTTGAAGATTAATTCTATTCACTTCTTTATGGTGTGTAATCCAAAGTCATCTTTAATTTAGCCGTTTTGTGAAACTTTCCCATCCCCTAAACCATGTTTGTTATTTGATACTGACTTTTTGTACACTTCTGTTACAGGATTCGCTGGTTACTTTGATGCAACTCTTTACAAGGATGTCCATCTTGGAACCGAACCTTCAAAAGCGACGCCAGATGTGTTCTCTTGGTATTTACCTTTGTTTTCCCTTTTTTAATTTATTGTTTTTTGAAAAGAGAATTTTTTTTATTAGAGTAGCAAAATAGAAAGTAGTTGCTCAGAGGATAAGATAATCATTTAAAAAAAGAGAGAGGATAAGATATTCTCCTCAAAAAAATCATAATATGAAAAGTAAATAAGGATAAAACACATTAACTAAGCGATGCTTGTCATTTTTTTATATTTATTTTATTGAGGCTATAATTTGTTAGGTTGAATGGTACCCAATCTTCTATTAGGATATTCATTCGGCTGCATTTATTGTGGAATCAAAATGCATATATATTTTCTGTATAAGATGATTTATTAAAGAACTCTCTTAAATTTATGTTAGATGTTTTGTGTGTCCAATTAGATTGAGGGAGTATTTATTTAATTACTTCACGTCCTACCCTGACTTACTACTTACATCATAAATTAAAGTGGATTCTCAAATCTACATCTTGTTTGGTTTATTGTGTAGGTTTCCAATGTTTTTTCCATTAAGGACACCGATTTGTGTGGATCCTGGTTCTCCCTTGATAGTTCATTTCTGGCGCTGTTGTGATTCTAAAAAGGTTGGTATTGTATCATTTGCTGTATTTCATCTTATTTCTCTTCATCCTGGCATCTATTTTTCCATTTCATATTATCGATTTCTTCGTGGAATCTGAAACAGGTTTGGTATGAGTGGTGTGTTACATCTCCTTCTTCATCCCCGGTTCACAATTGTAATGGTCGCTCACACTGGGTGGAGCTTTAGAGTAGCATTTACTTCTCGGAATATTTGGCAAAGTCTTGGTGGAAGTTTGTGACAACCCAACTTTTAGGCTTTAGTGGAAATTGGGCTTTAGTGGAGCGCAGATGATACTTCAAAAACTAAGTACTGATTACAAATTAATCGATTTCTAGAATTAGTATCTCGGTTGTTCTCTTAATAATAAGAGCTGTCAAAATGGCCCAGCCCAACTCATTAGGCCCTCCCCAGCGCGGGTCAGGGCCAAAAAACCTGCACGGGCCAAAAAAGTATATAACCCCACGGGCCAAAAATCAATTATAAAACTTAAAATACACTTAATTCAGTATAAAAATAAATAAACAAATAAAATCAAATAACACTTTGTGTTGTCAATTTCATGGATTAAAATCATGACTCCAAAGTTCATTATAAAACGTCCCTTGTCTTTGTACAAATAATTTGAGCTATCAAGTTCCCTAGGAATGATTCGTTCATGCACGGCAACATCGAACCTAGACTACTGTTTTGTGAGTTTTCTTCAAAGTCCTCCAATACTGAGCATGCATCATCTGCAAAATTGTATGCACAGTTTAATTGTGAGCTATCAAGTGGTTGATTATGACAAAAAGAATCATTATGCATCATATGGCCCACTCCAACGGCAGAAATTTTTTTAAATAGGCCCCATAACTATTTAAGAAATTTTTAAATAGTTATGACAAGCTGAACATGAATTGAATTGGAGGCATAAAATACAACGTTGTGTAAACAAAGAATGGACAACTTAAATACTTGTACTTTGGACTGTTAAAGATACTTCTTTGATAAAAAAAAAAAAAAAACACTATTGAATTCCAAACCATAGTCCACAGAGAATTGTTTCATTGTAAATTGTAATCGCATTGTACCCTCTTTATTTCTAGTTCTGAGCTCTGGCACTTTCCTCTTTACTGTATTATTGACTTTTATCTTAGTGGATTGTATTATTGACTTTTACTTCTGGCCAATCGCAAGTTTCAAGAACCTTGTCTTTCATCCACCTCAAGTAACAAATAAAAAGGGATATTAGCCTAGTAAGGTTTCGGAGGGAACAAGTACAGGGTCAATTAAAAAAAATCCACAATACTGATTTTGAAATAGAATTCAACAAACATAAATGGTATTGTTCCATGAAATCTAGTGCCTTGGCCGCAGATAACGTTCCATTGATAATGTTTATGCGTTATTAAATCCGATTCAGGCATTGATTTAGTTGGAATACTGAATTATTGGATCATTGGTCGAATTAGTGGATCACTGGTGAGATCGGTTGACCCAGGTATATATAGATATTAAAAATATATATAAATATGAACATATAAATTCAATTATATTCTCCATATTTAAAATGAATTAAACAATGTTCATTTTAAATTGCAACTCAGAATTCCCATAAATATATCTTTAAATCAAATTGCACTCATATTTTTCAAATTCAACTACATTAAAAATGACATATGTCACATTCTCTTAATTTATTATTCCGCAAATTGTTTCAGTATTAGAAGCTGAAATTTGAAAAGAGTATACTAGCAAATAAAATTACAAAAAAAATTTAAAATGAGTTCTACATTTTTTTGATAACATGAAACAATTTTGATTTTTTGGTTTTTTTTTTAAATGCATGACCCGACCGGGTCACTGGATAACCAAGTTTGATCGAATTTGGCCAATTTTGTCTGAGTTTGACCGAGTCAATGCATGACCAGTTCAATGCTTAATCCAAACTGATCCGATGACCGAATCGCCGAGTTCCGGATCGACCCAGCCGGGTCAGGCCGGGTTTTACAACTATGATTTATGCCATCTGACATAATTCTTCTTTTTCTATCTAGAAGTTACCCCAAGGTTCTTCGGATAATAGGAACTTTTTTCATATATTTTCATTCTTAGTTGTTCTGATATTTAATAATTTTATTTTTTAATTATATAAATTATTAGATACAAATAAATAAATAACCAAAAATGATAAGTACTGTAAGAATAATGAGCTCCGCTGTCTCTATATATATGATCATCAATACATATCAATTTTTTATATATTTTTATCAGTAAGTGAAAAACAAAAAGTTTTAATATACATAACCACTCTTATTCTGGGTAACAAGTAATAGAAACCTTCACCCTTCTCTCTTTCTTTCTAAATTATTTTTCCCTTTCTCTTATTATATGGTGAAAAACATAGGTGGTACAATAGCAAAGTACTTGCCTTGTAGAACTGATAACGAGATTAAGAACAGAGAACCCACTACGGGAAGAGAGAAAAACCCAAACATAATAAGCAAGAAAAACGAAATCCAAAGGTGCAAAATCAATTGAAACAAGAGCAACAAATGGGGTGTTTGGTATGGGTATTTCATATAGAATGATGGGGAAGTGGGGTGGGGAAGATTTAATTACTTTGTTTGGTATGGGTTTTCTGGAAAAAATCACAGCAAATTCTTTTCCCGGTAGTTCCCATTTCAACTAAACAAAGGAAAATAATTCTCCTCCTGATCCTATGGTATTTTTTGCTCCCTGTGATCTTGGATTCTCAATATAATATTTGAGTCAAAAACACCCTTCTATTTATAACCGCATATGCACCAGCTTCCACCGTCGTTATAATGTTTGGCTGCAAAAAAGACAATTGTTGAGGTTTGGAGTTGCAGGGTTTCAACAGGAAGCACGATGGAGGACTATGACGCGGTGTTGACGGCGGAGGGAGATGGCTGGTTCTCGCGTTCGTTCGTGTGGATGCGTTCTCCGCCAAACCCAGTACCGAAAGCACGAAGAGGGGAAAGGGGAGATTTTCACAAAACAATTTTTCCTACCTCCAAAGAGACAGAGCCCAGAAATATGAACTTTGAATATGAATCAGTTTTCATATTCAAAAAAATTAAAGGGTACTTTGGTATTTTTATTCACATTCCCATCAATATTTTATCATCAATCAAACATAGCATCAGTAAAATGAACTCAACTTTTCCTGCAAAATTTTGGCCAACCAAACACTTTTTTCGTAACTTACTCGAGCTAAAAAAATTCTTACAAAATCCTCAACCATCTTTTTTTCTCAGTAAAAAAATATCTCTCGTACCAAACGCCTAGGAGTATGATATCAAAAGCACCCCGTATCAAGAGGAGATAAAAAATGAAACAAAACCCTCTGATATGCAAGACAAGAAGCAACAAGAGATCATGGGTTTCATGTACCCACCAATATAGCACCAATATAGCAACAAATTTAATTTATGATTATAATTTAAAGAATAAATACACTTTTGACTCCCTAACCAAAAACACGGTTTCCACTTTAATTCCTTACAAAAAAAAATTAGCGAAGTTCCTAAGAAATTCACTTTTGAAGGACTAATATAGGTCTTTTTTGAATTTTTGAGTGACCACGATTTCAACTAAATAGGTTCACCTTGAATTTCTTAGGAACCTCAAGAGTAATTTTTTTGTGTAAGAGACTAAAATGAGGACCGTATTTTTTGTCAAGGACCCAAAAAGATAGTTACTCTAAAAACTTAAAATAAACAAAACAAACAGTGATTTTTAATTCTTCGCAGCAATTATCCTCATATAGTTCGATCCGAGTCAAGTTTAGGAAAAGAAAACAACTAACTTACCTGAGGGATGACAATGATGGACGTGAATGTAGTGTAACGATGTTGCTTATTTCTTTGAAAATATTCAAGAAATATTGGCAACAAATGTGGCAATTAATTCAAAAAATAAAGCACACAAGTAAAACTAATCTAAAGGTTAACTAATAAAAATGGGTATTAGTTATTGAGAAAGAGCAAGACTTTTTGAAAAAATTAAAAATGGGAACTCATTATTATACCAGAGATGAGTAAAAGTGTTAGAGCCAGGTGATTCTTCTTATGTATTTGAACCTGATCAATCAGACCAATCGCAAGATGAAGAAGACAACTTGACCTTTTTGCCTTCATACATCTTTCCAAAACTTGAAGATGTGGATTACTCCACTTTGTTAGGATTGTAATGAAACTTGGCGGTTTTTGCCCCCACTCTGTTTCATTGTAATGAAACTTTTGGTTCAGATGTAATTAAATAATGTACTCTAGTTGAGAAGAGAATGTAATTCTAGATTTATGAGGAGCAGAAAAACTTTTACTGCATTTCTGATACCAGATACCTCCAACAAATTTATGCATTCCAAGAGAAAAAATATGCATGCATATGTCTTTTTGTAAACAATAGTAGTTTTGTTTCTCCCATCGTGCAAGTAAACATAATGAATTTACTGTTGATGCAATTTGTGTCCTAACATTAAATTGACGCGCAAGTAATATTTTATAAAAGAATTTACCAAAAATGGAAGTTCTTGTTTTCTCATTTTATCTTATTTTAAAGAGAATTAGTCAGTATCAACTTGTAAAAAAAAAAAAAAAAGAACGAATGAATTCAGAGTAATGTACTATAGGCTTCCATTGTACAAGTTTATGTCAATGAACAAGAATAATTAGTTATGTATGAAAAATACCCTGTAAGATTCAAACAGAAAAATAATGACTACTTGCCTTTAAATTTATGTATGAACGTTCAAGAGTCCCAGATATTGAAAAGAATCCCCAGATTTCGATCTCAGACATAGCTAAAAAGATCATTTGTAAACGAAATTAAGAATGAATTCTAAGAGAAAATAGATATAATATTTCTAATTTAAGAATTTAATTAATTACCTATAATTAAGTAATTAAGCAGTGGTAGAATTAAGTAAGAGGCTAAAATTAATGAGTTAATATTGAGATAAAAAGTGCACTCAGTAATAATTAAAGGGTAAAAATGTGAGTAGATAAAAAGTACCCAAAAATAAAAGTAAAGTTAAAAATATTTCAAAAAATATATTCTAGACCAATTGGTTAAGTTTGGTGGTGAATGAAGGTGAATAGATAGATAAGATTTTACCCGGTTGAAATTACTCAACCTAAGTTAAGTGTAAAAAATAAAGGAACCCTCCCCACATTTCCTTCTTCTTCTTCAACGCCAAACAGAGAGAGGGAGAAGCCATTATTGTGACTGCTCCAAACATAACTTCTTCATTCCTCCACCAAATCAATCCGTTCCAAAGAGTAAATTGTGTCAAATTTCATCCTCTACAAAAACCATAGCTTGGTTCTA